AAAAAAAAAAAAAAAAAAAAAAAAAAGACTGAAGAATTGGCTAGATAAGGCAGCAAGCAGGGAGTTTATATAAAGACCAGACCTGGAAGCCATGCATCCTCCATCCCACGTCGGCTTCTATCTTTTTTGCTGGGTGTTCTTGGGCAAAAGCTTATTGTAGATACTTCATGAATTGTAATTATTATCTTTACAAAGTATGTGCCAAACCTTCTTTGTATTGGTGGTCCAGCACTAGAGGATGTTGAAGCTGGAATCTAGGAAAACACTAGGGTGGAACTCATGGCACAGTAGGATCTGCCCTGGAGGTCTGGGAGGCCAGAGCTCTCCAACAGCAACCCAGTGTGCCTGTCTCTGGGCGCTGCCCCCACTGAACTATGATGATCATTTTGGATCCCCCTCTAAGTGGATATGGTAGGAGGGGTCCTTGAGGAAAGGCATTTTTATCAGGCTCCCTACAGGCTGGCATAGGGCCTGGCATCATAGTAGTCACTGTATGATGTAAATAGATAGGTGGGTGGATGGGTGGCCTCTTTGTCATGGAAGATAAATTGAATTAATGAATGTGGAGATGCTTTGACAATGACAGCACTTAATGAATGTCCCTGTAGTGACATTTTTAGGTCTCTGAGTTTCTCTTAGCAACCTGGCTAGGTGCTCCCTGTGTGGAAAATGGAACTTGTGGACTGCTCTAGATTCAGCAGGCTTTCACCTGCATTGCCTGATGATTTCTGTCCAGCAGGTTACCAGAGAGCACACCAAAAGGCCTGCTCCAGGAAGCTTAGCCACTGAACTTGTTCCACTGTGGAAGCAAGGGCTTTAGTCTATAGGAGATCAACATCATGTAATTTTTCATGTTTTGCTTGGCATTCTCCTTATTGCCCTTTTGCTTTCATAGGCTAATGTAGTCAGTTTAATTCCTTAGCCAAATATTCGAAAGAAGGTATTTAAAACATGTGTGATTAAGTTGTGCCTGTTAAGAAATTTGACAGTTGGGTTTTTGTTATTAGCCAAGTTGGAATTCTTCAAGTGTTGTTTTACTGCACCCCAGAAATGCCAGGATTGTTGGCACAGGAGTGTTTCTCCGGTGAGCTAACAGCTCAGAGTTGTTTGCTGGGGTGCAGTGAGGGGCTGTTGCTTTGGCCAGAGCTACCATTATCGACACTCTGAATTCCCCAGACCACCTGTTAAATTGTGGTATAGAGGCCACCACAATTTAGCTTCATTTGTGAAAAACATGAACTGTTTTTCAGTTCATGGTACCACTGCCTGCCTTGCAAGTGCAAGGACTGAAATTGGATCGCCAGTACCAAAAAAACAAAATAAACAAACTAAAAGGGGGAAAAAAAAATCTTCCATGTATGAAAACATGGAAAGCCAATACTTCTAAAATAATAAAAGCTGGAGTGTGTGGAGTGGCTTGGTAGGAACAAGACATTGTAAAGGTGACAAGAAAGGTTCTCAGCCTCTGCCTGTTAAACTGTGCTGAAAAATGTACAAAGGAATTTGCCTTGTTCCTGAGATTACTGAAGGAACACCTTAGGCCTGTGTGTGCTCTACCACATTTGCCCAACTGTGTACCAAATTAGTGGCCTCCGCACATTTTCTGAGAGAACAATACCTAGGAGGCTTTTTTTGCTCCTGTCCCTGTGGCAGACACAGAGTTAATTAAAAGGCCTTATTTCTCTAAAAAGCCAGCCATGGCACATTTGCTTTGGATGAATCCATAGTGATCTGGTTTTCTATTTTCTCTTGCATTTGCTTTCTGCTGGTAGACGATCCTCCTTCAATCATAAAATGTTGATAGAACAGTGTGACGGTTTGTTTACTATTCAGTCCACCATTTGTAATTAGTCTACTCCATGTCCCTTTTAAAGAACGTAAAAGTTTGTTTTTCTTTTCCCACCAGACTGAGAAATACGCAGTCACATTTTGAGTTGCTCTTGGTGAAATATGGTTGACTTCCACATAAAAGCAAAAAAGATCATATTTTCAGTTAGGTGGCCAGTGCAACCTCTTCATGTCCCATGTCACAGGCAGCTAAGCAGATGGAGCTCAATGTCCTACCACATAATCTTACCCAGTGCAATTGTATGCATATGGATACAATTAGTAAATTGCATGGAATTTAGTAAAGCCTTTAAAAGACCAAATAAGTGTCTTTCCTTTTCCCCTTGGGTTCATGAAAAACTAAAACCTCATTTTATAAGCAAAGCTGGGTCTTTGATTTTCATAAGATTTCTGTGAAATCCAGAAATTTGGATGAAGTAGCATCAAGACCAAGCCAAACGTAACCAAAGCAACCATCACCTTGCCCAGTGCATGCGTGGCCCTACTGTGACCATGGCAACATGTGGGCTTCTCCTACTGCTAAATGAAGCATCTGCAGGGGAGGTCAGACTCAGGGCTTGTGGATTCTTTACATATAGGCACCTCTGCAAGACCTGGGCTGCCATTTTAAATACTGGACATTTTTAATGCTCCTGTGTTATCCCTACATACAGAGGTCAGAAGAAAAATGCTTCACATTGATGAGTGGACAAGAATCATTACATTACATTACTAAACCATTACATAGTTAAACTAAATATTGGCCTTGGCAGAAAAATACAGATATGAAGCAGACTTGTTTGGTAAGGGAAGTCAAAGTGTTCTCTCCCAGGTACTAATGGTCATGAATGTTTTTCCAGGGCCCACAGCCTGTCACCTACAGATCACCAAGCAGCTTTCTACCTGGCTCTGCAGTTTGCAATCTCCAGACAGGTCAGTCTCCCTGATGTTCCCTGAACTTGGTGTATACTCCATCTTGATACAGTTCCTTCAGCTCTACATTTTGAGGCAGTAGATGTCTTTCCTTTGTTCACCTGAGGCTGACGTGGACAGACTCCTCCCAGAGAAAATTGTTCTTCAGGAAGGGAAACTCCTCCTGGGTTTTTGGTCTGTTTGAGTATCAGCCATGAAGACACAGGAGTTCTAGTCTCTGCTTTTGGAGATTACACCTACAGGGTCTGATCTGGAGTCACAGGCAGCATGGGGTGCAATATATGGTGTATATCCTGATCCCAAGAGTCATCAAAGAGCTTTTGTCCCTTTCTAAGAGAAATAGGGTCACAGAGCCTGAGCTGAGCTGCATGGTAGGAATTCAGTCAATGCCTGGGTCCTTATTGTTTTAAGGACACATTATTGACAGGAATAAACCGAAGATACCAAGTCCTTTAAAATGTGTGGAGGCTAGAAACAATTGCATACAGTGGCTATTTGTGGTAGGAGACCCACCAAACTTTGCTGGCCTTCATCTTCCCAAAGGCAGCCTAAACTGCCACTGACATTCTCATACCCGTCTGTCCCCTCCCAGCTGTTCTAGAGACTCCAGCCACAGGCCTGCCTGCCCACCAGGTGTCATACTCTGATGTGACCCCTGCACATTCCTGAGTGCTGACTGGGAGGGTGAACCAAAGGTCAGCTCCCCAGACATGCCATTCCCATGGCATGCTCAGGCCGAGGCATGCATCTGACTTCCCAGGTGCCTGAGCACGGTGCTGAGAAGTGGCTCTCATTGGCAACCTGGGGACTGAGGAGACCAAGATACCGTCCCTGTACCCAGCCCACCCCTAGCACAGTGTGGCTCATAGTTGGGCTGATCAGGAACTGTTGCTGCAGACAGATGTGCACCAAGAACTGGCCATCTGGTCTCTCCCTCACCAGAAGTTTCATTGGCCTCCTCTTCAGACCCTGCTTCCTCCACAGCCTGCATTCTTCCTCTTGCTCAGTACTGGTCTTATGTTGGAGGACAGGAACTCACATCTGTCAACACCATTTCTTTACCCTGGTATTTGGCATACTGTCTGACATGCATTCGGCAACCATTAACTCACTGAATGAAGGAGCCAAATTGCATCCCCTCAAATCAACCATTCCCTAATATCATTTTGAACCTGTATCAGCTTGTCCCTGATTGTTCCAGTCATCCCTGCAAGTCAGTACCATAGCACAGCCCGCCTTTGACCCTCAATATTCACACAGCAGGCTGTCACCCGGGGAGTAGATAAGTAGATGGAACTTGTAGATGCAGATGCAGGCTTGTAGCTAGTCACTAAGTAGTCAGGTGACCTGCTCCAGTCACTTCCCCTGTCTGGACTCCAGCTTCCTCCCTGTAAATGAAGGATGGGCCCAGCTGATCTCCCTTCCAGAGGGGACAGACTTGATTCTCTGGTTCCAAAGAAAAAAGCCTCCATAGCCAGCTTTTATAACCTAAATTCATGAAGCTTGGGGAGGAAAACAAACAGCTTTCTACTAAAGGCTAAAGTGATGGGGTTTGGGAAGAGCTGAGAAGACGGCCCTTTGGGACTGGAGGTAGAAGCCACACAGCAAGGAGTCCCTGGGGCAACTTCGTAAGAATGCTTCTGTCCCATTCTGTTTGACATCTAGCTTCAGGCTTGTATTCCCCCTTGTTATCGTTAAACCTGCACAGAATCGAGGGTGTTCAGCTGCTCACATGCGTGCATTTTACCTACCCTGTGCTTGGGTTGTTTTGAAGAATGCCTTGGCAGCTGTTGCACTTAAAGGTTTAGGTTGTGTCTGGTCCTGCTTGAATTTGGCTACATCTGCTTTGTATGTGGCCTTGTGATTTGTTTTCTTGTACCCAGTTTTTTTAACCTGCAGTTTGGAAAGGTGTGGGTTTTGTCTGTTTGTTTGTTTGCATATTCTCTTGATGTTCAGTGGAGATACAGGCATCTAATCACTTGGGAAGCTCTGCTAAAGGTTTTATGACTTATTCAGTACTTTAATTTCAGTAATACTTTAAAAAATGAGAAAAGTTCAGCTAAGGCAATTTAATTCCACTAAAAACCCCTGGCAATTTGTATGTGTCTCCATTTACAGTAAAATCATCTTGAACATAATCATAGGTAGATCAATTTTGTGGGTAAAAAATGAGCAAATGTTTTTTTAGGGAGAAATAAATGATCTAATATTGGCTGTTATGTGGAGGAACAAGACCCCTTGTATCCTTCATCTGCCCCAACAATCACACGAAGAGGGCATCTGTTTTCATGTTTGCAGTTAATACCCTGGGGCTACCATGAAAACTTGGCTTAAAATATGAATGTGGCGCAATGTAAAACAGCCCTTGATAGTCACAGAGAACCAGATACTGCAGTGATGATGATGGTGATGATGTGTGTGTCTGTACATGCTTAAATATTCTTTTTGGTTTTGTTTTAAACCAGATACCAGAGGCCCTAGGCTATGTCCGCCAAGCTCTTCAGCTTCAAGGTGACGATGCCCATTCCCTGCACCTCCTTGCCCTCTTACTGTCTGCACAAAAGCACTACCACGACGCTCTCAACATCATTGATATGGCCCTGAGCGAATATCCAGAAAACTTTATGTAAGTGATCCCAGGCTTTTGTTTCTCCCTACTCAGAAGTCACTAAATGTAATTTTCCTTCCTTTTGTCTAATGTAAGTCCTTCATGGAATCCTGGGGGTAAATAATATAAGCTGTCCTTCACTCTTGTTTTCTTGTGATACTTAAAAACAAACTTTGCTCACTATGTCATCCTAACAGAATGTTAAGGCATCCATGTTCAGATAAACAACTTGGTCCCTTCTTTCCCGATGTGCACCCCAAGGATATAGGATTGTCCCTGTAAACCTCTTATCTTGTTGTCTCACTCTTGGAGAGGCTAAGATCATGTGAATTCAGGACTAATCAGCTCTTTCCAGTCAGCTCCTGGACAGACACTCCCTAAATTATCAACATATTCCTTGTGGAACTGAGATGAGATTTGACCGAAGATTTACAGTAAAAAGAATTCAAAATGAAAGTCAAGAGCCGGGGATTTAGCTCAGTGGTTCTGCCACCTTCCTTGCAAGCGCAAGGGTCCAAGTTCAATTCCTGGTACCCGCCAAAAAAAGTCAAGCTTTGCTCTTCTTTTGGTTACATATTGGGCATCTGTAGATTCATGTTCATAGTAGAAATGTCCTGTAAGTCCCTGACTGTCCCAGAAGACACAATTTTTCTTTCTTTTTTTGGTACTGGGGAACAAACTTGGGTCCTTGTGCTTGTGAGGCAGGAGGCAGAACCACTGAGCTAAATCCATGGCCCATGAATCTTTTAATGAGTAACAGGTAAGGACCCAGGATTCTACCTGTTCCCCATTCCTATGTTGGCCTCTGGCTTATGTCCTAACTGCATCAGTGTGATTTTACCTGGGTATAGGTAAACATTTTAATGGTTATACATTTAAAAATACATATTAGAAAAACATAACGTATAACAAAGTGTGAGTTCTTGAAAATTACTGCTCAGGGAAAGACAAATCAAGGGAAAGAAAAATATTAATACTGATACTTAAAATACAGTGGTACCTTAGTTCATGAATGCTTTTGTGGGCAAACAATTTGGTTTGCCCACAAAAGAGTCTGGCAAAATTTTGTTTTTGTTTGCAAACTCTACATGGAGTGACAAACACGACTGTGGCCATCTTTCCCTCACAAACACAAAACAAATACGGCCAACATTTCCAAAATTGTGGAACAAATTAAGGTTCATGAACTGAGGCACCACTTTACTTAGATATGGCAAAATTTCGGTTAAACTCCAGTGAATATGGGTGGCATTGCTGACAACTTGTTTGTTCTGTTACCAAGGACTTCCATTAAGCTCTGGGTGATTATTCTATTTTAGGCACCTTTGATCAACATACCTTCCCTCTTCAAGTTTCCATTTTATTCTCCACGAAATGGAATTCCTTAAATAAGTTAATCAATATTTATACAGAACCTAAGAATTATCATTATAAACTGTCATATGCTTAAATTGTGTAATTATTGTCACATCTTTCTTCTGAGTCACCTTTTGATAAAACCCGTGAATTTGGAATCCACCAAAAGCCTCATGGTGAGGCTTTGTGGAGAAGAGCATTGTCTTTTGGGCTACTGGGTTACCATTTTATCTCACTGGTGGATACCTTAGTAACCAGTACACAGTGCCCAGAAATAGTAAACACTCCTGCAGGCTGGAAGGTTCTAATTGTCTACATGGTTGCATAGCTAGTAATGAAGGGTGGGAAAGGAATGTAGAAGATAGTCTTAGTGGGCTTTCTTCACTTTCAGAAGTCAGTGCAGTGGCAAAGTTTTAAGTGGGTCAGCTTTGGCTTCATTTCTCTGGCTCATCACCTCCCTGTGTTTTTAATCAGTGCCTTTCAGCAACTATCCTTGGAAAATTGGTTCACACATTTCCATTACAAACATTTCTTTGTCTTCAAGTGAAAAGGGCACTGCTTTTCTCCCCATGGAGAGAATTCTTGTTATAATCCAGAAAACCTCTGACTACAGATTCCTTTTGTAAATTCAGCTGTTTATGCAGAGTGAATTAGAGAACTGGGCTGCAGTGTTTTACTTCTTACACATTTCAAACTTGCTCGTTAGCACACTGATATATTTATGGATTTCATCCCAAGATGTTTAGCCTGGGGAACCTTACAATAATTAAAATAGTGTAAAAAATACTCAGTCACTTACCCATCATGATATAGTACAGCCTGATACAACTGAACTCAGTTTCTTTCTTATAGAGTGCCATCCCCTGCTTCTCAGGCCAACACACTCATGCATGGATGCACCAACATGCACACCTCTGTCTGTTAGAGGTTAGATCCAGCATTGTTCCTGCTTCCACAGCCAACGATGCCATCCAAAAGGAGGCTTAGTATATGAATAGCCGTGCCACACAGTAAGCAGTAAACAGTGGTGGCTAATATGGTAATGCCTCCAAGTGACAACAGCTGACAGCCTTTTCAAGTAGTAGAAACAAGGAACAGCAGTGGAGATATTTGAGGAATGCAAGCCTGTTATTTTAATGTTAAGCCGTAAGCTGGATAAAGCAAAGCATATGGCAGCAGGTCTGAGAGCAGCCGATGACTTGTTTGCTTTTAAAATATTTGTATTTCTTCCTTTGTGATGGGAAACTTCTTCCCAGGAATACTTCTTAAAAGTTGAGGCCACATGTAGTCCATGCATCCCCTGGCCTCCTCCAAATCTAGATAAAACATTTCAACACCAACCTAAGCAAGATTGAGTGGGCACTTGTCCCAAACACTGTGCAGTTTTATCTGTGACAAGCTTGTCCCCAGAAGAACCACAGACTCCCTGAGTGCTTCGGGTTTCTGGTGTTCACCAGCCGCACCCACCACACAGTGGATACAGCTGATGTTTGTTTCATCAGGACTTGTTACAAGGAGGGAAACCCCTTCCCAGTTGTGTCATTCCTGTCCACCTGCTGAACAGTTGTCAGGTAGAACAGCTGAACGTCCTCACAGGAGCAACTGATCTTTCCATTTACTACCCATCTGCATTTGTCTGTTTCCTCTTGCAATATCAAAGCATCTGAGACTAGGTCAGCATTTGTACAGAAAAGAGATTTATTTAGCTTACATCATCAGGAAGTTCAAGCATGGCACCAGCTTCTACACAGCTCTGATGAGGGCCCCCATGCCTACTATGTCTCTCCATGGCAGATGACATCTGGTGGGAGCACATGGGATAAGGCGAGGTCACATGGTGAGACAGCAAGCCAGGGTGCCACGAGGGGCCAGCTTTGTTCCTTCATAACAACTCACTCGCAAGAGTCAGTTACTCTTGGGTCTCCAAAATCAAATTGATTACTTCCATGGGCAACTCTCCAAGTGACCCAGTGACCTTGTATAGGCCTCACCTTTTAAAGCTTCTGTTGCTTTCCAGCGTCACAATCCAGAGTACCATGTTTCCAACACACGAGCCTTTAAGGGAGAAACTCAAACCATATCCAGATCATACAATACCTGTTCTGGTTTTGATGACTTTCACCCGAAGGCCCAAGTGGTAAGGGTCTTGTTCTGAGGGTGGTGCTGTTTGGAGGCACTGTGGCTTGGTGGCAGATCTTTATGTCATTTGAGGCATGCTCCCAAAGTGTACTGTGGGACCCCAGCTTGTACTCCTGCCTTTTTTCTTCCTAGTTTATGAGGTGAACAGTTTGCTCCACAATGAGCACATACTATGGTGAGCTGCCCTTTTCGGAGGCCCAAAGCAATGGGACCACTCGATCTTGGGCTAGAACCTCTAGAACCATGGGCCAGAATTAGCCTTTTCTCTTTATGGGTTAATTGCATCAGCTATTTTGTTACAGTCATGAAAGCTGCCTAATACACCATGTCACCATGAAATGAAAAGTTGGTATTTAAGTACTTAGAGATGAAAAAGCTCTAAGCTAAGAGAGGCACTGTCTTATTCAGTGACCCACCAGAACTTGGTCACTGCAACCAGAACTGAGATGAAACAATAGATTTAGCAGTTGGGAAGAACTTCCTAACTCTTGGAATTGTGAGAACCAGGAATCTTTTTAAAGGAATCTACAACTAAGCTCACTACTCTGGGGAAACAGCCATTTTTCTAGTTGTTGCAAGGTTAGTTCTGCAGAGAAAGAGGGGAACATGGAAGGATCTTGTAATAGTTTAGAGCTTGGTCTTATGAGTTAGACAAACCTGGTTTAGGACCACACATGCTTTGCTTTTGACTAAGTCACCTAATCTCTCTCTCATTTCCTAATTTGCAAAATGTAGATAATAAAGTACCCATCTCAGAGGACTGTTATAAAAATTTATTTAACTGGGCCAGGGATTTAGCTCGGTGGTTCTGCTGCCTGCCTCACAAGCACAAGGTCCCGAGTTCAATCCCTGGTACCAAAAAAAAAAAAAAAAAAAAAAAAAAGAAAGAAATACATATTAAAATATTTTTAAAATTTTATTTAACAGTATATTTAAGTCATTTGTACATGATAATCCCTCAATCATTGATAGAAATTCATATTATTATTCTCACTATTATTACTACAGTGTTTTCAAATATGGTATTTTAGAATCCTTTAATATTTTTACTAAATATTGAATAGAAGCAAGATAATATTTATTAAAATACCAAACACATGTTTACCCATTTCTTAGCTTAAGAAAAAGAACATTAACACCGCCTATGAATTGCCTGTGCACACATTGGTACCTCAGTTCATAAATGCTTTTGTGCAAACAATTTGGTATGCATACAGAAGCATTTGGCAAAATTCTGCATCGGCGACAACACAACCATGGCCATCTTTTCCACACAAACACAAACAGCCATCTTTTCCAAAATCATAGAGCAAACTAAGTCTGTGAACCATTGTACCACTGTATTTATTTACACTGCAAACACATGGACATACAAATGTATTTCCTGGGTCTATGAATTCCTTGTGTAATATTGCCTATGAATTTTCTCCCTATCCAGTCCTCTCGACTTTCACCTGCCAGGTTAATCACTGTCCTTTATTCTATGTTGATCACTCTTATGTTTCCATACCATGTATGTGGGG